CTCCCTCCCTCACCGCAGGGGCCTCGATCTGCCCCCACCAACACTTTCCCTTCCCCCTGCCCCTTCCTCCACACCAGACTCACCAACCTGATGCTGGCCTCCAAACTGTGTGGCTGCATATCAGAATTGAATCGGTATGGGCTGATACGGCTTCTTAAAAATTCGGCCAGAGGTACTGACCCCAAAAATCTCTATTGGTGCACCCCTACTTACAGGTATAGAATTTCTGAAAAATACACAGTTGCTAAGTCTGAGTTCAGAGAATTAGGACTTTGTTACCAATATTATGTATGTATCTGTCTATATACATATTTTTTTCCCTTTGTAGGTATTATCATGGTCCAACTCCAATTCAGTCACAGCAATATGCAACCAGTCAGGATATTATTAATTCTTTTCATAGTATTAGACAAGAAATGGAAGCCTATGTACCCAAACTAACTCAGGTAGGAAAAAAAATAAGTCCCCTTGATGCTGGAGAGAGTTTCTAACTCTAAGATAATTTTTCATTTAGTGGAATAATAATTGTAGCTTTGATCCCTCAAAGTAAATTGATGCGTTTTCCCTGGTTCATTATATTATATACTATGGGGAATTTGTTTTAGAATTTTGGGTCTCCTTCAAATGAAAAACTTACCTCAGTGTGAACAGTTACAATGTGGTATTTTAGTTCCAGCCATTTCCAGCTATTTAAAATGTTTTACCCTGGGGGAAGTAAGCTACTAAGCAGCAAACTGACAGATACCATGGGGCAAGTCACATAGCCCTCTTGCACCTGTGAGAGAGCTCCAGCTAGAGTGGAATTGGCTTTCTTCTTCTTCTTCTGTGTTTGGGACAAAATGCAAAAAGGCCAGACTGCCCCTGTGTAAACCGTTGTCAGTGACTGCTGGCCTTAGCCTCTGACGTATCACCAAACCAACTTTGTATAAGACCACAGCACAAGTTGTACAGCTAAATCAGTCTGCTGGTCTAAAATGATCTAACACAGTGGTCTCCAACCTTTTTATGGTGAAGATCACTTTTTGTAAATAAAGGGCACCCCAGGATCTACCACCCAGGCTCTGACCCCACTCACCCAGCCATCCCTAAAATGATAGACTGGCTGCATGTGGCTTTGGCTGAACCAGGCTGTCAGCAGTGAAAGCTTTCTCCTTCTGTTTCTTTACTAATCTGAATTACTGAATCTAAATTAAAGCTCAGTTAGTTGTTTATTCCACAGACTTAAGTTTCCGGCGTGATTGACATGTTAATTGTGTCATAAATAACAACACTGTTTATCTAATTTATGATGTCATAAAATGGCAAACGAGCCACAAAGATACTCCTCAGAAAGTATGTAACATCTTTTGTGGGAGCTTCGTATGGCATCATAAATTGAATGTGCGCCATGCCCCATCAGTTGATTGTCAGCATTGGGATCTAGGCAGCCCCAGGTCTGGAACCTGGCTAGGGGCTGTGCTGGTCCCAGTGCTGTCAGCAGGATGCAGGTTTGCCAGAACTTGGCGCCTTTCAAGGGCCTAACATACAGCCCCCACTTTTTCAGCTGCTGGGTCCCAGCAAGCCTTAGGGCATGAGACAGATTCAGCCCCTATGTGCGTGTGTCCTGATCCTCAGGATTGTATGGGACAGCCTGGGGTCCAGACTAGGAGTGGAGCTACCCAGTGCCAAATCCCGGTACTTGGATGAGCCTCCAGATCTGGCACAAGGCAGCCCTGGAGGCCAGGACAAAGCTACCCCTGCCCAGTTGGCAGGATCAGGCTCTAGGCAGTTCTGGGTCCCTAACGCAGTTGCCCCTGCTCTATCCCCCAAAGAAGCCAGATGTTTTTTTTTAAGAGCAGGTAGGGATGAAGGAGCCACTTGTACGAGGCAGCTTTTTAACCTAGGTGCATGCAGTGGGGTAAGAGGGAGCTCCCCAATTCCCAGTGTCAGGCTTATAGCACCCAGGGATATAAAAGGCAAGCAGATATTTGGCTGCAGCTCCTAGCTATGCACCAGCTTTTTCAATATTTGGAGCACCGTGAGCCTGACATCACAGAAAGGCTCCCCAGTGTTGTGCTCACTGCCTCCCAGATCTTCAAAAAGCAGGAGTGCAGCTGGGAGCCCTAGCTCCACAGCCTCTCTTCTTGTTACAGGGCACCTGGGGAGTAAGGAACTCTTGGCTCCCCAGCTGCTTCCATGTGTACAGGGGTACAGCTAGAAAGCAGAGAGCTTCTCACTCCCCATCTATAGGTGGCCTCTTTCCTCCCCCTGCTGGCAGCTGTTCCCTTAGGGTCTGAGCAGTTTTATACCCCATCCCCACAATTGCATGTCTGCCATGGGAGATCATGTGTTTTGGGGAATGGGGCATAATTCCTCAGACCCCAATCATGCAACTGTCTTAATGTTCACCAATAGCCTTAGTCAAGTTGCAACGAACAGTAAAAGTCTCTATTAATTTATATTGCCTTGTAAAAAGAAAAGCTGAATATATCCCATACATGCACCCTATAGGCAAGATCCTGAGTTTTAAGAACTAATACTTACAAGCATGTTTGAGATCAGTACTTACAGACAGATGAATATTATTCTTGTTATTGTGGGGGAGGCAGGACACACTTCTATAGGTAATGATGGTTAATGCCTGAGCTGTGTCTAATTCTGCAGCACAGTGTGAAGAATATTGTTTTATAGTCCTAAATTAGAACGTCAACCTCTCATCAGTGACAGTGGCTAAACTGAGCCCTTGCAGTTCAAATTTTGATTAGCCCTGATTTTTTTGTTTAAACCACAAGTGACTGGGGAAAAATAAGAATTTTGGTTTTTTCGAGGTTCTTTCAAGTGGTGATGCTGCTAGCACCATCACAGCCCTATCACCTGGGGGAGCACTTATGCAGGGTGGAACACAGCAAGCCATAAACCGTAAGTACTCCATATTGCTTGTATAGCTAATTATCCAAATGTGTGGAGAGAATTAACTTATTTTTTCACTTCTCAGTCCCAAGCCTGGTGGCAAAGCAAATGCAGGAATAGATATTTGTCTAAAAATCTCTCAAGTGTTTAAAAAAAAAAAAAAAGTTTGAAGGTGCAGTTATCATTCTAAATAAAAGTGAGAGGTCTCTACCCAGGGAAGGAGATACTGGCTGAGCAAACTGAAATTACCATATTTACTTGAATAAAAAATTACCCTGATTATAAGACTCTCCTACAATAATTTGATTCTGTATATGAAAAATTTATAAATTTATCATTTTCAGGTATAGAATCTAATTATTGGCAGTTTGCCTTGAATTTGTCCTGGTCCCACTGCTACAACAGGGAAAACAATCTTTGGTGAAAGGTAGGCCCCTTGCACTGTTTCCCCCCCTCCTGTCTCACCATCAGACCCTGATTTCCCTGAGCACATGGAAGTGAGGGGTAAATTTGAAAGCACTGACCTTGAGATAAACATAATTTACCATATAGGCAAATTACTGCAAGCATCTAGAATTTGTGCATTTTACCTTTTTGAAACTGCTGCAAGTTTTAGCACAGGTATTAACACATTAAGCAGCACTCTTGTACCTACTTTAAAAAAAAAAAAGTACAAACTATGCATGGTATTAGTGTAAAGCCCTAAATCTAAGGTTCATGATTTACCATATAGTACATTGGATTGGACCCCAACAGAGATAACAGTATTTCAAGGCATAATGACCCCACAGCTCACTATTGCTCAGTATGTGTGTACTCCAGATGCATCCAAAAAAGGACCCATGTGCTAGTTAGTTCCTCTCTCCCTCCACCATGATTGAAACTGGGTGTTTTGCCATGAGTCCTGTGATCCTCCAAAAATGTATATGCAGATGAGGCACAGAGCAACCTGGTCCTGATCCGCCGCATGGAGGGTGGGGCCACATAATCGCATGCAACAGGCTGAGAGGGGGTGACAGAGGCATTCCAGGTGAACTGTTTGGGGCCCCATTTGGTGATGTTTGCCAGATGCTTAAGGCTGATGAAGCAACAGGAATCATTGAGCATGGGGCAAGAAAGGGAAGCTGTTGTGGGAGTGAGGAGGAAATTGAAATGTATTCAGTGTAGTGGCTCACCATGACTTGAAAGAGTTGGCACTGAAGGGGACTGCATACTGTGGGTATTATCATATATCTTATTTAGATGGGCTGTACTAACTTAGCTTTGTGAGAGGTTTCCATTATTAGGGAACTCTGGAATTCATGCTGGAAGTGTGCAGCAGCTTCTTTAATCTTGGAGTTCCCCCCACAGGCCCCCTGCAGCTGCTTATTGGCAGAGGGGTCCCATCACTTGCCACCCACACCTGAAACTGCAGCTGCAGTTCACCTCAGCCATCAAGTGCAGGTAGTGAGCAGCAAGCAACAGGGCCCTCTGCCAATCAGCAGCAGAGGGCATGCAGAGGAAACTCCAAGACTTAAGGAGCTGCCATGCTGCACACGTTTGGCGTGAATGCCAGAGACCTCTCCCCATTGGTATATTTGCTCAATACAGGCTATGTGTTTTATAGTCAAGTTCAGTGTTGGTTGTATTTAATCAACTTCATATCTGGTTTCCATTACTGAGCACATGCTGCAATGATAGATGTGGTTTCCTGGTATGCGACTATAAGGCCAAGGGACTTTTTTCTTCACACTGATTGGTGGGGGCTTATCTTGTGTTTGAGTAAATACGGTAAAATGCCAAAGTGCAAATGACATTGGGCACCATTTTAAAGCCACTTGAATTCAAGAGCATTTATTATGCTTCCACCAAAGGGCCTGGTTGTTTCCAGCCCACCATCCCCACACTGGGGAAAATCAGATGAAGCCAGGAGGCCTTCTGCCTACTTCCTGAGCATAATGTACATCTACATGTTGTGGGTTCCCTGCAGGAGAAACTACAGAAAAAAAAACAAAATGAGAGAGAGAGCGCGAGCAGTATTTTCTCTAGGCTGATAAAGTGCTGATCTGACTCTCACCAGCAGCTTTGGGTCAAAGTTCCACAGCACTGTCTAATGACTGCACTGAGTCTTAGCACCTAAGAAGTTACACCTATTTGTATACAGTGAACTTTAAATCAAGAAAGATCTCTGGTAGAGTACAGCAAATACTGTTAAATGAGCTGTAGTTTAAAGGAACTGCTTAATATATTATTTTTCATTAGTTTGATTGACGTTTAACAAATAGGGACAGTCTAGGGTAGGGGTGGACAGGCAACCTGTGGCATGCAAAGGCATTTTGCTTGGCATGCATGCCTCAAGGCAGATGGCAGGGAAGGGGCTGGGGCTGCACAAAGATCAGGCCCAGCGCAACTCCCCCACCATCTGCCCCGACACACCAACATCTTACAAGTTGAAGTTGCGGCTGTTTTGGCACTGCCCAAAAACATTGCAGACCCCTGGTCTAGGGCTCAAAATGCTGTACTAAGTAGAAGGTCAGCTTTATTTATTGCCAAATTTCAGTTTGGCTCTGTTAGCCAGACCTTCTTATTTTACACTTCTGGATTTAGTAACAAGCATTTTTTTCTGGTTGTAGAGATGGTGCCAAATGATGTTCAGTCTGAACTGAAACACTTGTATGTGGCTGCAGGGGAGCTACTGCGACACTTCTGGTCCTGCTTTCCTGTTAATACACCATTCCTAGAAGAAAAGGTAAAAGAACTTGAATAGGAGCTTGCTAGTTTGAGACCACTGTTTAGCAAAGTAGCTAGTGACATGGTAAAACTAGTACTTTCTTTCTCAGCATCTCTGACACGAATGTGCTTTTTAGTGCCCCATTTCTATTTAGACAAGTATGGAAAATGTTAGCTATCTTAACCCTAGAATGTGTTACTTATGAGGCCAACCCTCAAGAAAACAGCTTGAATTTTTTTCCAGATCCAAAGCTGATTGTGGCAGGTATAGCCAGGAAAAAAGCTTTCCTAAGCTAAGCATACTTTACAAAACTTTGGACACAGTCCTAAAACAATCATAATGGCTTAGCCACCTCTCAGAACAGTTGCCCTTCAAAAAAGACATTAGTGTGTGCGACCAGGAATCAATTCCTATGGTTTGGTTCCAGCTCAGCCACTGTCTTGATGTTTGACTGTGTTCAGATCACTTAAGTATTCTCCTTCATTGGATCAGGCAAAAAAAAAAAAGTAGTTATAGTCCATCTCACTAGGCCTTGTCACATGTTATCCTTAAGATGTGTTAAGTGCACTTAAGGTGAGCATCCATGCATTCAAGCATAGTACTTGGGCATAGTACTGTTGTGTGGTAGTAAAGTTAAAACTTTTCAGGTGAGGGGTATCTCTAGACAGTATTGTGTGTTACATTATCTTGGGCTTGCTGTAGAGATATCAGTTCTCGTCAGGGGCTTGTGCAGTGCAGGGCCTCGGACCAAGAAACAGCTGATTGTTGGTCTTGGCCCCCCCTACCACATCGGTTTTGAACTAGCTCCAGTGCTGTTGGGGGAGGGGGGGTGTATAGCTGGCACCAACAAACAGCTGATTGTCTACGACACAGCCAGCTCCAACCATGTCTAGACTGAGATCATCATAAGCACTGCTGTGCAACTGCTTGGAAAATGTTCTTTGTATGATCTAAATAAAACATACCGTAAGTGTAACGCACAATAAGGCCTTTAGAATAACCTGACAATACCTTTGGATAAATTTATGCATTCAGACATTTCAGGCTTTCTGCTGCAAGAAGTTAACTCCAGAAAAAATCCACAATACCCTGTTGGCTTGACAAAGGGATGTGTAACAATGTTACATATATTCTGCCAGCAACCTTTTACTGAATGAAAATTTGCAGTGCTTTGGAAGGACATTACCTTAAGAGCTGAAAAGTTGACTTAAGAAGAATGTCTGTGGTACAGGTACTCCTCACTTGATGTTGTCCTGGCTAACATTGTTTTGTTCTTACATCACTGATCTATTAGAGAATATACTCATTTAAAGTCATGCAGTGTTCGGTTATAAAGTTGTTTGGCCGCCACCTACTAGTAGGCAACTACTGTGATGTAATTGGATTCGCTTAACATCATTTTGCTTAGTTGTGTTTTTCAAGAACATAACTACAACGTTAAGCGAGGAGTAGCTGTACCAGAGTTTCATATTTTAATAATTGTGATTACTTAGCAATTGCTTTCTGAACGTTGCAAATGTGCATCCACCCAAAGAAAAACTTTGCTTCACATTTTCTTTTCAGTTCATAGGAGTACTTTGCTAAAGGCAAAAAGAATCTTTATAGTTCATGTGCCACTCCCTTTTTCTCTATCTTTTCCAGGTTATGAAAATGAGGAGTAATTTGGAAAGATTTCAAGTTACAAAGCTCTGCCCATTCCAAGAAAAAATCCGGAGACAATATTTAAGCACAAACGTAAGGGGATGGAGGGGAAGAATCTTAAATTCTTTAGGAATATCGTAACTAGCTCACTTTTCAGAGGGTGACAGGTTTGGGTTTCCTTTTGATTTAAGGAGTAAGTGAGAAAAATGAGCATTAGGCGACTGACAGACCGAGTCTGATCCCAAGAATTGTACCTTCTGCTGTGCCACACCTGCATGGCAGAAGGCGCGATTATGGGATCAAGCATCAGATCCTCATCATGCCATAGAGCCCTGGATCACAATCCCAGGCTTCTCCTACACCAGCAGTCTTCTCTCCTGTAGCTGGGAGCTCCGAACACTGCACCATGTGCTCCTGCTGTGTTGGGAGCTCCCAGTGGGGGGAGTGAGAAATGCTGTGTTTCCATGCCTGGTAGCTCCATCAGTGGATCGGGACTCCTTTTGGGGGCAGGGGAGTGTTCTCTCCTCTCCCAGCTAGTACCCCAAATCAGCTGACGCAAGTATGTGCTCAGAAGGCTGGAAGCATTGGCCACACATTTGAGTCAAGGCATGATAAGAACCAGCAGCAAAGTTATTGCACATTTTTTGTGGAATATCTTGGTAGCTTATTCCTGCTTTTATCATGAGATTAATTGACTGAATGTGTGGCCAGATCACTGCTTAGGACATGATTAGCTGAAGAATCAGGTCTTAAAAGTGTAATGCGTTAGGGCCTTAAATTTAAAATTGTAGGTTGGTCAGTGCATTTCATTGTCTTGTCCTGGAAAACACCAGGCTCATGAGCTTGGTGTAAAAAAGGATATAGGGTTATAACTACTGTTCTGGGATAGACTGTTAATCTCACTTGTGGTCCTAATTACAGATGACCTCTTTGGCTAACGCATATAATTTCCACCAATTCTGGAGTACTAATTACAGCATTCAGGTGGAGACTACATAGGTGCAGCTGTGCATCCACTGTCTTCACCCATACTCTGAAGACAAGTGACACAAACCTCTTTAAATATTTCATAACTGAAAAATGGAGCCTGATTCTTACCTCTCGCCCTCATGCATCTCCTCTGACTTAGTGAAATGACTCCGATTTTTATGAGTTGTGAGAGGGGCAAACTCCATCCTAGGGGTCATCTTTTAAGGTTGGTGGGGAATGGGCATGCTTCTGTTATTGAGAAGATTCCTTTTTGTCTCTACCTTTTCAGTTGGTAAGTCATATAGAAGAGATGTTGCAGACAGCCTACAATAAGTTCCACATGTGGCAAACCCGGCGTATGTTAAAGAAAACGTGAAGATTCCTACTGTAAAGGTTTGAGAGAAAAATCTGCAATAGCTATAGGAATACAACCTAGCATATATGCAGATCTTATAGACATTGCAGGAACACCTGCAGTGCGTGGACTTCTGGAAATGATGCTAACTGAACTTGCACGTTTTCGGAAAGAAACTGATTTAAACTTGAAAACTAGGGAGAAAATATGGAAGAACCAAAACAGAAAAGCTGAGAGGCAAAAATATTTAAGAGACACTGTTTACTGCAGTTACTCAGGAACTGCTTTTGATTTGCGTAAAAAGAGCTGCTTTCAGAAATAAACTTTAAAAAAGGGTGTATTAATGGAAAAAATCCATTTTTTGTCTAATTTTTTAAGTGTATGGCACAGGGTAGAATTCAAATGTTTTTCTTCACTGGATTCTGGCATTTTATTGAATTCTGTTTGTACTTACTGAAACCAAGGTTTAACAAACTATTTTAAAAATAGCCGAGACTCTTTTTGCTTCAGACAGCTGGAGAGATTAGCTGTCACAAGACAAGCTTCTGCCATATGTTTCCCCATAAATTGGAAGCAAGAGACATTGCACTGAAAGCTGTTTGTGGTGTGGAGTCCCTGAAGGCATATGGGGGCACACACCTTTGCCTAACATCTGGGATTTTTATGCAGAATTTCTTTTTTCCAGCCATCAAGTTTGCATGTTTTCCTTTGAGTGCAAGCGTGTGCTGTTGCAGTTTTTTGGTTTTTTTGTTTGTTTGTTTTTTTACAAAGGTGGCATTGGTTTGGAAGAGAGAATGCATTTTTAAAAGTAAAAGTTCAAAATAAAGTTTCTTACAAAAAAGAGTCACTTATTTTCACCTCTTATAAGAAATAAAGTTATTTCTCTTAAATCTGCTTTTCTCTGCTCTTCCCTGTTGAGTATTTTTTTGGCGAATTGATAATCGTTGAAAAGTGTGTGAATGCACAGCATCCATAGGTACCTGGAATATGTGCCATACTTTGTTCCAAATAGAATTAACTCACTGTTTATCTAAGACCTGCCTGTCTTGTATGAAATATTTCACTTAGAAAAAAGTAAATCTGTTTTATATAATAGATGCAGTTTAATGACACATGTTGTATTATGTTGTCTTACCTTGACAGTTAGAGCCCATACAGTTGGGCTACTAATTTTTTTTAACTTGGATTAAATGAGACTGTTACAGAATTAAGATGCAACACCATTATGTATTTAAAACCAAGCATAGCCATGTAGTGGAGCATTTGACCTCTACCCCACAGTGGCTTGAGCACTGTAATGAGGAGCCCCTGTTCAATGTTAAATTAGTAGGAAATCTTCTAAAAGTGAATATTTATACAGCAGCAGAATCTGTCTGTGGCTTTCCTTTTCTACTAATTATGTTACTCCATTTATGCAGGAGGGGCTCTCTGACTGGCATCTCTTTATAGGTGACAATTTCTGCTAATATTTTGGTAAAAATCAGAATTTCCATTTGTGTCGCTGTGTCTGCATTGTTAATCTAGCTTTCCACTGTCTGCTTTGCAGACAGCTGCATGGCATCTGCTGTGTGGTAATGTAACATGGTTTTGCTACATCACAGATGACAGGGTTCAGTGAGACAGTGTGTTAAGCCAGGATGGTGGAACTTCACTGTGAATGAGCTGAAGTGTGGATATAATAGTATCTGTGTGGGAGGTAAGGACTCTCACTAAAAAGGAGGTATTCACTTGCAATTCTAGTGAGTCTGTGGTTATACTGCCTATAAACAAAGTTACCTGGTTTTTTAATAAATACAATTTTGTCCTGGCCCTAATCCCATGGATTTCAACAGGTTTACAGTGGTGGAAAGATATTCAGTAGTTGGCTAATAGAATATTACCACTGTTGTAAGTCTTCATTTTCTTTTTAATGAGCCACCAAAAAAGCAGTGTTCCAAAATATCTATTCCCCAACCAAGTACACATCTGAATTGATGCATGCTTTCATCAAACTACAGCGCTGGGCTGAGGAAAACTAGCCTAGTTCTATTCTAATAGTGCCTGCAGCTATGGTGACAAATTCACGTAAGAGATTGCACTGAAACTTTAGCAATAATCTCACTTGGCTTTAAAATCATGCAAGGAGAGGGTTTGTGAACATAGAACAAATCAGCAGTATCTACTCCTTCCGAAAGCATTTGGCAAACTGCTCAGTAAGTTTCAGTGTATAGGTGTGCTATTTATGAACCCGAAGGGATCTTGGCCATTCTTTTGGTTTTCACTGCCTGAACATACTCTGGATTAAACGCGAGGGAAAAATGCTGAAAAACAGCAGGTTGGTCCAAAAAGAGAGCAAGTGAGGATGCTGTGCACTTCACGTTGCGTTTCCAAGGATTGTGGCAATAAAGTACAAATCTCTCTTCAAGTTAGGGGAGCTGTTACCCCCTCCCTCACAAGTTACATATTTCTTCTTCTAGGTACCTTCCCTTAATTGTGTTTCCTAATAGTTTTGTTTCAGTACTTTTGTAACATGGTCCAACAAACTGACTTTGACTATTTCTTTAGCAGTTTTGAAACTGTGAATCACCTTGCATTATATACTAATTGGAATCTTTATACTGACTTGTATTTTTAATGACAGTTCATACTTGTATTGCTGGCATTGATCAAAGTATTTGTAGAATAAACCCTACTGAATTCTGCAGTCAAGTCTTCTCTGATGTTTCATGCTGTGTATTTTGTGATCAACCAAATCAAAGATGCAAACCAAGCACCTTAAGGCTTTACAAAGAGACAAAGCTGCCTCTTGGAATTGGAGTGCTTTTTAAAAGCTCTTACTTTAGACAGGGGGAACAGGTAGCATTAAAATGAATTTTCTCCACTGTCACAGAAGTGTCTTAATTTCTCATTAGCTTTTAAATCTAGTAATTCTTTCCTGCCATAACAGGTGTACCAGTATTCCTGGTGCTTTCTTTTTTTCTAGCTGATTTTTCCCTACAAGTTAATCATAAACAACCCCAAAAAGCTGTTCTAAAGATTTGTAGAGAAACTCAGTTTATAAACTAACTTAACTGTCACTTCTCAAATGCTATAAAATCTGTAGGTATTATAACAATTGTTTCCCGTACCCCCTCAAATGCTGGCTTTCCTAAGGTCAGTCTCTCTCAAGAGGATTAGAAAAAAAATTCTCAGAATGGTAACTGATTAGCAGTAGTAAGTTACACTAAAAGCTGCTAAAATTCAAAATAAAGACTCATCCTTGTGTTTTGAAAAGGAAGTTTTAAGTCACTGGATCCTTGCTAAATGCTTGTTAGTGCTTCTAGGAGTAGTAGCAACAGTAGAAACCTAATGTTAGGCTTCTAGTTTGATTCTGAATTAATAGAAAGCATACTACCCTTTTTTCTGATCAGTGCTACTGAAACTATATTGGTCTCCGGTCCAGAATCTGACCCTTCACATATGGAATTTAGGATCACAGGGCAGGGACATAGGGCTGTCCTAGTAAGTCCATATTCCTTGGCTCCCTTTAATTAATACATTAAACAAACTGATAGAATGGGGGGGTTTTAAGCTACTGAAGAGTGACTGATGCAGAGTCCAAGGCCAGAAGAGACAGACCACATAACAAGATGTGCCTGCTCCAGGCCATACAACTTCTCCAATTACCCCTAGTGGGAAACCAACAACTTGTGTTCACCTTCCAGAGGCACCAAGTTTTTTTCTTAATGCTTTAATAAACAGAAGTCTGTTATTTTGCTTGATGGCCTGTTTTAAAGTAGTGGTCCTCAAAACCCTTGACTTAACAGGAAACATTGCTTACAACTATGGGAAGACTTGGTTTCTACAAATATTTCTTTAGGTTGAGGGGGGGAAAGTGTAGTATGCCCCCCAAGAAGTTGCTTGCTTCCTGTTCTTGTCCATCGGCCAGCAAAGGGAGGGACTACAGCCATAGAAGCTAGCTGGTGTTAAATGCATTGGATTTGATTTATCTGGATTCAGCTGCCAGGCACTAGTTCTTGTTATATTTTAAAGGGCTATATGAGCCTTTGCTGCCAGGTATTCTCTTCTATAAAGGTTCTTACTGTTGTCAAACTGCATCTCAATCTTGATAAGAAAACCACAACTCAAAAGACCTTCCAAGCTATCATGGAGGAGCTCAGCACAGGACTTATTTATTCCAATAGCAGAAGAGTAGGTATGGGAAAGTCTGTCTACCCAGCTCCAGCAGTAGGTTTAATATGCCTTTTTTTACCTGGTATTGCCCTGTTTATACAGTGTAGTACCTCATTTACGCATAGCATGCTTACTGGAAATCCACAGTAAGAACACTTCAACTAGAACTGTGTGCGCTAAGCTTTTTCCACTTCCTTAAGGCTCCTTAACTTCTGTTTTCACTGTCTTAAGCCTAATAGCAGTCTTAAAAAGGAGACTCCTTGTCAGGTTCAGTAACTACACAGCTAAAGGGACAAGTAAGTTGGAGTCCACAGTGGGGCTGAAGAGTTTACACAAATAAGCAGCAAGCATAAAACTGATTTTTGTTATGCCATTAAACGCATATCCAATAAAAGCAGGATTTGATTAAGTGACATACTTTACTTAATGACACACAAGACAGATCAAGTTCCTTTAGCTGTTGTGCTATTGGTTTGGGCATCTTAGTCACCACTGGCCACTAGAGGTCACCAATAAGTACCTCAACAGCATGTAGGCAGAAGCTGCTATTGCAGTAGAATAGACCAAGCAGGAGAGGAAACAGGAGGAACCACAGGAAGCAGCTAAACAGATGCACCCACAGCTCAAAAGTCAGTAACTTGAGTTTTCAAATACCACACATTCAACTCAAACAGAAGGGCCAGTATTTCTTCATTCTAAAGGAGTTGCCTATGCCCTTGCTCTTTCAGGGATGGCTTGTGTCTGATTATTTATACAGTGGTCATCAGAACAGATCATAATCCTGATGGACGTCTGCCAAAGGCAGAATACAGAATAAAGAAAGGCACAGCCAGGGATTGTACGCACTGCTACCAGGCAGCTGCTTCTGTCTCCTATGTGGTTACTAGAGTTGTGCAGTCCCTGCCTCTTGCAGCAACAGAGTTCACACAGAAAAGCAGCAAGCTAACTGGGAAGCTTAAGATGCTGCTCTCCAGAAGAAAATCTGTATGCAGTTTTATGTGCTGCATATACCCATATTTGGCAAACACTTTCTCTGTAAAGCACCACTCAGCTCCTCCTGTCTGAAACATAAAAGGGTTTCAGTGTGAAATACTGGACCGGAAGGAACTATGTAAATCATGAGGGCAGCCATCTGTAACCAGACTGCTATGTAATGGGTATTTTTTTTTTGTCCAAAAGGGTTCATACATCCACTCTGGCCTCCTCTGCTCACCACTGCCATGAGACACCCCCTAACATGTAAGATTTTGCATTCAGAAACAAAAGCTTCTAACTGAAGGCCCAGAGGAAGAGTGCACAGCACTGTTAGTGCCTTGAGCCCTTGCAACGCCAGGGAATTGGATAGGTAAAATACACCCAGATGATCCTAGGACATGGGCTGTGTCCCACAGTACAGAGGAAGACAGAAAACTTCAGTGGTCCTTGCCAATCTTACCTGGAGGAAAATTTCCTCATGCCAGGTCTAAACAATCAGTTTAACCCAGAGCTCAGAGGGAAGACCTACCAGTCAGACACCTGGGAGGTTTCTTAGAACTACGGAGCCCCACTGCATCTCAAACTAGCGTCCATTTTTAGCCATGGGCAATACCCAACTACTACAGAATAAAGAAAAAAACCTGAAGCTGTTCCTCCTGGTTTTCCTACCCCCTGCCCACTCCCATCTATGATTTTTCAAGGAACAGCTCCTAGCAGGTGCTGCACTATTTTCTTGTACAAAATTCCCTGGCTCCTTCCAAAACACCCCACAGAGGTACCACACTGCTCCCATGCCCAGAGTGCCAGGTGGTCTGTTGATTTTTCATCGCCTTTGAACCAACTCCTCTCCCAGCAGCACCCATTCCCTTCTGGTTGTACTGCCAAGAAAAGTGATGCAGACCCCATCTTTCCTGCTACTTCCAAGGGGCTGCTCATCACAAAGGATTCTCCAAGAATCTCTTCACCAGTATCCAAAACAGACCTACAGAGCCAGGGATCACAGAACCTGGAGCTATCAGAAGGGCAGTTTCTTCCCAGGCATCAGAGCTTTAAATGGGTGTACTTGGTAGCCGTGTTGATCCGAGACAAAAAAAAAAAACATACAAAAAACTAGAACTCTGGGTGCCGAAATGATACCTTTGGTCTCAGACCAACATAGCTACCAAGTACACCCCTGAAACATGAAAGATGCTGAATTTTAGCTGATTTTTGGATTTTAAACTTCATTGCAGAACAAGGAAGTTTTTTAGCCTCCCTGCCTGCTATCTAACACCTCCAGGGAAGGAATTCCACCTGATTGACACATCAAAGAGCTACTCAACACAGCTCAAAGACACTCTCATGGACCCAGAGGAACAACCTTCAGCTCCTTCTGTGCAAAAATGAAGTTTATTTCCTACCTATGCATACTTTTTACCATTTTGTACCATCTACACTTTTCCCAGAGCCTGATGGAGGGTCTTTGATCCCAAAAGCTTGCAGAAAAGGACAATTTTCTTACCATTTTACAGTTGGTCTAATAAGAGGTATCATTTTGGAACCAAGAGTTCTAGTTTTTTGTATGTCAGAGCTTTAATGGCATTTTGCTGGCCAAAATTTCAGCCTTCATAAATTCAATGCTCTGTTCCCCTTGGGTTCAAGTCAGTTCAAACAAAATACTGCATCACAACGAAACTCCTAGAGACAGGGACTGTCTCTCGCTGTGCATATACATAGCACCCAGTCCCAACAGGTTCTGATCTCAAATCAGAGCCTGTGGCATTGCTGTAGTACAAGTAACCAGCTTCTCGTTTCCTGCCCGTTCTAGTCTGCTATTTCACACAGTAACTGCAGGGCGGGTCCAGATAACTGACTCTAGGTAATGGACTCTAAGAAACAAAGTTATCTTGGGATTAGAAGTGAAGGCTCCAATGCAAGGGCCTGGCAATACCCAGTTCCTGATGACAACTCTCCCCATAGGTGTAGCTCTAAGCCCAACCTAGTTCCACAACCAATAAAACTGATTAGAGAAATACTAATAGGCTGTAAAACCATATTCCTTATCTGACCAACCCTGAACACAGGCATGACAAGGCACTTGCACTTCCTTGTTTGTACAGGATGTAGATAACATACTCACACACAGGCAGCAATGTACGTTCCACTCTTACCTATGCACTGCTCATCAAATGAAAGCGTGGTGGGGAGGAAGAGAACCCAAGGAACAAGACTCCTTTTTTTCTACCAGCTTTCAGCCCCCAGGAACAAAGTCTGCCTGGGTAAAACTAGACAGCAGTTACTACAACCAGCAAACAGGATTCCTTATCATCTTCATTTACATGAACAGCATAGCCCCAAGCCAATGAGATGAGCAACCATACTGCATAGGTTGCCATGTGTGGTAGCAAAGGAGATCCTGCATCATAGCTGCTCCATTTATATTTGCTTTACTCAGATTAGTGGATTCAGGCCTATAAAAAAAAAAACTAATGAACTCAGGAAATTAGATCCTCAAAGGACTTCCTGATTTCTTGCAAAGAATCCTTTCAGATTAGGGGAAAGCTGCTATTGCTGGTCGGCCATTGCC